TATACCCACGAATGGGGGTATCATCCAAATGTCTTCTTTAGGAATGGAACTGAACAATTTAAGCAGGTAACTGGTTAAATGAAAACAGATTCACAGTATCTAAAGCCATATACTTTCAGAAGTTCACATAACTGTGGGAAAAAACACATACAACTGGTTAAGCTTCCTCCTTTCTAAAGAGAATCTAGAGGTAATACAATAACAGCTTTTATACAAAACAAGAACAAACATGCACCAATTCCTCATTAATGACTTTTCAAAGTCTCACTGACGACTTTTCAACATTATACAAACCTTTAAAAATAAATTCCTAAGCCAAATATCCCACAAAGCATTACATCCATCTAAATATACATAAAATTGTAATTCAAACACAATTGCGTTCTTCAAGTGCTTGGCAGTGAATTCATCTTCTGTTAAGAGCAGTTCGTGGCAGTCGTAGCTTGCTGTGGTTGCACTCATATCCTCTGTTCAGGCCCAGAATTGGGACCCTATGACATTCCACAGATGAACTGTGGAGAAATGGGAGTACCAGCTGACAGCATTCTCTAAAATGTTCATAAAGTCTGATTTAGGTAATAAATACAAATGATACCAAATACTGTAAGCACACTGCAAGAAAGTGAGTTAATATTGAGATAGGAAACCTTTTTCTATAATCCAGAAATTGACTGTTTTCCTAAAATTTGTCATTTCTGCTTTCAGTTTAGTTTACATGATCATAAATATGAATTGAAAAGAAACTAAGAAATCTGATGCTGTCAAATGACATCAATATTCACAAGTATCTGTGGCATGATGCAGCAGGAAACGCTGAACTCCACCGACACACACGTGCAGTTAGTTCCCCGCCCCATAATCAAGACATAAACTCAAGTACGCTCACCCACACTAGGGTGACCATATCATTTAAGGTCCACTGGGCTTTTGACAGGGGAAGGAGATAAACTGGGTGGGATGCTGAAAAACGGGTAAATTGGGACTGTCTCCAGAACACTAGAGCACATGGCCACCCCACCTACAATTAAAGGACGAACGGTAACGTTGGGAAGTCGAGAGGCTGTCTTCCTTTATCTTACTATCTATGCAAGTTCTTACTATCTATGAAGTTCTGAAGACTTCATATATGAATGTCTTGCTTTGGTGACAGTGAATTCAAAACATGTTTGGCAGTAACAAAGAAAAAAGAAAATCAAAAACAGATCAGAAAAGTGTTTTAAAGTTTCCTATAGGTAAAGATGAAGTTCAGCTCAAACACATGGCTGAGGACCTTTTTTTTTTTTTCCCCAAGCAAAGTACTTAGTAGTGTCCATAGGAGCAGTGAAAAAGCCAGGTCAGCAAACAAGAGGAGGAAAGTAGAGTCACGTAAAAGGACCCTCCTAGGCAAGGCTGCACAGAAATCAGCATCAGCATCTACGAGCATAAATTTTAAAATTTTTCTAAGTTTTATAAAAATGGCAAATTTATATAAGGGGGTCAGACAGAGGATGGCAAAAGCAGATCCCAAGTCCTCTACCTCCACCCTCTTTATCACCCCTGGTGGCAGAAAGAAAATGAAGGCCATCAAACTATATGAAGAGAGCAGTACTGGGGGAAAACAGGGAGGAATTTAACTTTCTAAAGCTTTAGAGTAGGTTCTGCTTTTTGGAGGAAAACTTTAGTCCCTAACGCCTAGAGGACCACACTGGAGCTTCATTACCCAGGTAAAGAATATTAGAGAAAATGGTTCAGGTCCCTCTGCCACCTTATCTCCCAGTGGGAAGAGTAATTAACTGATTAGATGAAAAAGTGTGACATTTACTGGGTCATTCTCTTTGAGGAGAGATACAGTGTTGAAAGTCACTGTTCTCTCTAAAGACCTATTTTGACAAGTCACATTCTCTACTACCATTTATTAAATGACCTGTAATTTAAGGTTATGGTTGTCCCAAATTCAACAAGCACCACTATTTAAAATATTTAACAAAAAATGAGTAGGCAGAATTAAATATTTACTAGTAAAGAAATCTGGAGTCAAGTAATACCTCTATCAATAGCTGTGACTCTCTGTAAAGTTATTAAACCTTTTTTAGCTTTGTTACATATTATGTCTCCCAAAAATGTGTTGTAAATCCTAACCTCTATGCCTGTGGCATAATCTCATTTGGGAATGGGTGGTCTTTGTTGTTATGTTAATGAGGCACGATTAGTGTGGGGTGTGCCCTGAATCTACTTCTTTCCAGATAATGAAAGAGATTAAACAACTGAAGAGAACAGCAATGGGGTAAGACAGATGCCAAGACACATGGAGATCACAAAGGAATCAGGAGCAGAAGCTGAACAGACAAGGACCTTCCTTCAGAGCTGACAGAGAAAGGCCTCCTAGAGGCGGCACTCTAAACCCAAAATTCTAGCCTCCTAAATTTTAAGATAAATGTTTGTCGAAGCCACCCATTTGTACTATTTCTGTTACAGCAGCCCTAGAGAACTAAGACAAGCTTCATGTGCAAAATAAGAGGATTTGAATGAGTGCATTCTAGTTTAAAAATTCTGTAATTTTACTGAAAATTTCCCTCTAGAAACGAAATATGCTAAATAAAGAAATTGTGGTGCATCCACTTTCTGCTTGGTATCCAGAAAAATAGGAGACATTCTAGGGACAGAGATTCCTAAATGTGACCAGAGACCTCTAGCATCAGAGCCTCCCTTCCCTAGTTCCAGGGAGATTAGTTCAAATACCAAGTCCTGACCCAGGCCTCAGGATGAGTATCTCTAGAGGGTTAGGCATGTTGAAAAATCAACCAGGTAATTCTCCTTGCTCCTTAAGTTTAATTATTCTAGGGCCGTGATTGTCAAAATAATATATTCATACCCTAGGGATACACTAAGATTTTTTCCATAGGGTTGTTGTTGTTGTTATGTGCCGTCGAGTCAAACCTGACTCATAGCGACCCCTCCTTGGGTTTCCGAGGCAGTATCACTACGGAAGTAGGATTGCCCAACCTTCCTTCCGAGGAGTGGCTGGTGGGTTTGAACCGCCAGCCGTCTGGTTAGCAGGCAAGTGTCTTAGCCACTATGCTACCAGAGCTCCCATGGAAAGCAGATGTAAAAGGAGCTCTGGTGGTGCAGTGCCTAAGGCATTTGATGGCTAACCAGAAGGACGGCAGTTCAAACCCACCAGCCACTCCGCAGAAGGAAGATAGGACAATCTACTTCCTGGAGAGATTTACTGCTTCAGAAACCCAATGGGGGTCACTATGAGTCACAATCTACTCAAACGGCAATACTTTTGTTTGTTTGTTTGTTTAAGCAGGTATGGACAGCTACAAGGAAATCAATTTAACTATCTTCAATTTCCATATCTATATTGTCTTAAAATCGATGTGCCCCAGATCTACTATTTCTCTTTAACTACTTCCCTTTCTACAACTGCCATACTCCCAGTTCCCAAAACACAAAAAACAAAGGCTACCCATCCAGAATCTTCTTATGGGGCACTGCCTCAGTATAAAAACCTCTACAGTCACCAAAGCCACCAAAAAAACAGAAAAATCCTATAGAACTCCTAAAGAATAATGAGGCCAGAGAAAGTAAAGCAGACAGTTTAGGTTAAAAATTCTCTATCTTCTGTATCTATTTTAGAACTGAAAAGCGAGAAAGTTGTACCTAAGACATAGATTTTTGCATTTATCAATTAAAAATAAAGTCAGACATTTTCTGACTGAAAGTAAAATCTGATTTGGTTGATTAATTTTTAAATGAGGACAAGCTTTGCCTATATATATGACAAGACTTTTTCTATAAATTTAAGGAGGCAGATCTACGGTTCCAAAGCTCTAAAGATTAAAATATCTTTAAAGCACATATGCAGTATGTTGAATAGTGCATCTTTTGTTAAATACTTCATTTATTTTTGAAACTTAGATGTCAAAGATGTTAAAATGAAAACTAATCCAGACTGAGTCAGGAAATGGTTGAGGAACTGCCAGGACAGGGGGACAAAGGAGTATTTTGGGATGATAGAAACCTTCTATAGCATATTTTGTTGGTACTGACTCATGCGTAGACATATGTAGTCTAAAATGTTCCTCAAAAGGGAACATTTTATTGTATGTTAATTATACCACACACACACACACACACACACACACACACGAAAAAAAGACCTCACTGCCTTGAGTCTGATCCTACTCACAGTGACCTTTCTTTGGGTTTCTGAGGCAGTATCACTACGGAAGTAGATTGCCCAGTCTTCCTTCCAAAGAGTGGCTGGTGGGTATGAACCATCAGCCTTCTGGTTAGCAGTCAAATGCCTTAGGCACTATGCCACCAGAGCTCCTGTATGTTAATTATACTTCCTTTTTTTTTTTACATACGCAAATGGTATACACTTTTTCAAAATTCTTTAAGGGGTGTGTTAGCTAAAATGTTTCATAACTACATTCTAGGCATATACCAAAGAAACTGCCTTTTTTTCCTGTTTTTTTTTTTTTCCCCAAGATTTTTCATTTTGGTTTCTCAGAACAATGCAGCCCGACTGCAACATCAAGTGATCCACAGTCCTACATCATTTGACCAATCAAATTATTGAGGTTTCTGTCAGGGTTACCTTCAATAGTTTCTAACCTTGGGTTCTGATGCCTAAGAATATTCCCTAACAGAAAAGTAGGGAATAAAATTAACTAAAGAAAAGATTAACTTTCAAATAATTTGGCAAGAGAATGAGTATATTTTTACGTTTTACTGGTAATTGCTCCTTCTAGATCTCCATCTTTAGAGGGAAAATGAAGTGATTAACTTATCTTTTCTTGTTAGTGGAGTCACCAAATTGAAAATCTAATTCTGAAGAATTTGCTCTCAAATTCCCTATGAGTTTAGAAGCAAAAATGTCCCAGAACACAGATGTTTACATGACTAAATGAATGGATGAAAAGCGTCAAACTGAGTAGAGATGCTCGATACTGGTGCTTTGATTCCTGACCTGGCCCCTGTGGTTATTTCTCAGCAACTCACAGATTCAGTTATGCTATAAAAACCTTAATAACCAGTTGAATCTCCTTCTTGCAAATAGGACAGGAAGCTCCAGCCTTCTTTAATCTTCTGGCACAGTGAAAGCAAGTGGCAAGATGCCCTGTCCTCCCATGAATAATGTTCCCATCTCGTGGTCTTTTCTCACATAAGCTACATGGCTTCAAGAGAGTCTGGCAATCCTCCATGTTTTCTGCATCTGTTCTCTGTTCAGAAAGGTTATCTGGTTGCTCTCCTATGCTTGAAATGGTCTCCTGGCTCTCAGTACTGTGAGCCAAATCCAAGAATTCCACTGAGCTGCAGGGATCGAGAGGTTTGGAGTTCTCTTCCTTTATATACACGTCTTTAGGCCTAACCACTGGGGCCGAAATAGTCCTTCGGCAATCAGGGACATCAATTCCTTCATTGTCCTTCTTTTCGGGTATGGCAGTGATATCAGAGGTGGACAGAGAATGAGTTAACTTAGAACAATCTGAATACCAATCCTTCCTCAGGGCCCAGCAACGGAAACAGTACCTCTTGCTTGGAGAGTTAAATTTCTTGCACTCAGTACACTGCCATTCATCCTACAAAGATATGTACAGCTCATTAGTACTTACTCACTCACTGGTGACCATGATGCTGAGGAAAAGGGAGGGGAGGGCAAATTCTCATCTCACTAAGCTAGGGAATGTCCAGACATTCCACAGCAATGGCCTAATCGAGGATTCAAACAAATTCTACAGCTATGTGTAAGAAAGTCTCGGAAAGTTTAATACTGCCACTGTCACAAATGCCATTTTCAAATCAAAATTTGATATATTTTCTTTAAGAAAATGAATGATTTTGGCTTTTCTCTACTATCTTCTTTTAGGTCCTTTCTCTTTACACAACTTACTCCCTTATCAGAGAAGAGGCTAAAGAATGAAGAAAGATTATTACTCTGTCATTCTTTCCTATTAATTAACAAATGGTATAAAATTTGGCAAAAAGGAAGCTAAAACTAAAATGAGATTTGAAAACTAGTACATTTTGCTCATGCTCTCAGGATCATGGTAACTAATTATATGTCTAAATCGTATCCTCTGAAAAAAATGAATGTTCTTGTCCTTGAATGACAAATAATTTTTTCCCTACTTCTTCATATTCAAATTAGGAGATGCTGGAGCTCAATGAATTCTAAATGCCTTACTTGCTTAATGCAAAGTAGCTACCTAAAAAAAGTCAAAAGTATATTTAATTTGGGTAATTGGCTTTGATAGGATCAATGATTTGACACAGGCTGACTTGATTACTTTCAGAACTCAGGCCAATCACTTCCCAACTTTCAAATCTTAACTCAATTATCTAGACTGAAAGGCAGAGACACGGCTATTTGTTAACCTGGGTAGTTCTCCAGATAGCCTAGAAACACTCTTGTCAGTTGAAGATCCTCAAATGTCCTCTGAAATGTTACAGAAATACTCAAGAAACACCATGAAGATTTGGAATTCTTAATTCATGGTGTCAGAGTTTAACTGGCATCACTGTTTTTCTTTTATAGGAGTACATAAAATAATAAAATCAAAAACTCACTGCCATCAAGTCAGATTTGACTTTTAATGACCCCCTCCTTGTGTTTCCGAGGCAGTATCACTATGGAAGTAGAGTGCCCAGTCTTCCTTCTGAGGAGTGGCTGGTGGATTTGAACCGCCAGCCTTCTGATTAACAGTCAAATGTCTTAGGCACTATACCACCAGAGCTCCTCATAAAATAATACGGCTTATTAAATTCAGTGGCATTTTTTTTTAAGACAATATATCGAATTTTGATATGAAAATGGCATTTGTGACAGTGGCAGTGTTAAACTTCCCAAGGCTTTCTTACACATAGCATTGGTGAAATACAGTCTACTTGCTTAACAGAATTCCTGGCCCCAAGTAGCTACAGAAGTCTATTAAAATGGAAAAACATACCTCTGCTATTTATATTATGATCACGATCACTTAATGGATGACAGTGTTTCACTTTATTCATTAGCTAGCTCAGTCAGATAATTTGGAGTGAATTACCATAGTGGTCAAAAGTGGGTAGGGATAGGAGGGCAAATCAGCTCCAAAGATAACCTAAACATTTTTTTTTATCACTGAGCAGCAAAATGTAAAATTCCTTTCCTATCCTTTCCCTACCACCCTTGTGCCCACACACTGAGGCAGCTGAACGAAGTACTAGAAGGAAAATTGGGAAATGGCATGCAAAGAGAAAAGCAAGATAGACATTCGAGTCCAGACTTAAGTTATCAACTAGTGACAAATCCATACCATTACTACCCAAGAGCTCAGTAGCAAGTCTTCTTAAATAGCCCTCCATTAATGTAAATCTATATGGAAATAAAGCCATTTTCCATTTGTTTCTTTTTAAGAAAGCACTGAAAACATTTTTATACTAGACAAAGAATTCCTCTGTCTTTGAGATAATGGAGAGGTATTTAATGGGAAAACAGTATATAGGACTATTAGTACAGGCACCTGTGTATCCACTGCATCATGTCCAAAGAGTTTTGACAGCAGGAAGAAGGGTACACTGAGAGACATTTAAGTCAGCCCTTTTCTAGGTAGGAAGAGGATTACATCAAATCATCCCCTTCCCTTTCCAAATTCCACTACAAACCTCTAACAGGAAGAAACCAACATCTCTTAGCACTTAAGAAAGGTAGATAGGAATGGGGGATAGGGGTGGCATTCTTCAAAACAAGTGAACTGCTGGAACTATATCATCTGAAGACAAGGCTTATGCAAAGCAGCTCTTTTATCAGAGACCCATACCTCAGAGGTAACTTCTACATCAGTATCATCGCTTAAGGACTTCGAGTCCTCAAAGTCATCATTTTTTTCCACTCCAATCACCTGTAAAGGCAAAGACACCTTGTAAGATTTACCTGGTTTAGATGAACTTACTACTTGAGAACAACAACAACAAAAAAAGGCAGAACAGCTTTAAAGACAGCATAAATGTGAGACTAAAAACGTGATTCCACAGACGCCAGTTGATTCTGCAGTACAATCAACTACTGACAAGAACCCAGAGGGGCTACCCAATACCTTCTGTGTTCACAAGGAGTGGGTGCCCAAACTTAAGGTTTTTTAAAAAATTTAAATATCAAGATACAAAAGCTACAAATTATTAATGTGGAAATTTTTAATCTTGGGAACCAGGCAGGCAAATGAAGAGTGAAAAGTGCTTTATTTTAAAGAAATGTGAAGAACGTTTAAGATTTTACTTTTCACATTCTAGAGTAAAATTAGTTATGTACAACTCAACTACAAAACAATTATGAATCGTTGTTTAACAACTTTCTCACAAAAATTCAAGTATTTTAAACTCTTTCTGTACAAATAAGTTTCCAAATGTCACTTTTGTCTTAACTGTAGCCATCTGTACTCCCTTCTAAAACTACCCACCTAACTAGTCTAAGGGCTCCCTTAAAAAACCACTGCCATCAAAGTCAGTTGCAACTTACAGTGATCCTAAAAGACAGAGTAGAACTGCCCCTGCCACCCCACAGGGTTTCCAAGGCTATAAATCTTTTTGAAAGCAGACTGCCACATCTTTCTCCCATGGAGTGACTGGTTGGTTTGAACTGGACCTTTTGGTTAGCAGTCAAGCTCTTAACCATAGCACCACCAGGGCTCCTCTAGAGATGTCTCAGGAATCCAAATTTCTATGAAAATCCTTTAGGTAAATAAATAAAAAGAATGGCCAAATTTAGGTCTGCTTTTTGCTAAAGTTATTCAATGAATGTTACTGAGAATCTACGTGCTGGGCATGGACTCTATTGCTGAATGTGAGACTTGAGCACATGCCTATATGACTTGTCATTTTGTTGTGCCCACACCATATGTATTCAGAGTTCTAACACTGCTTCTTTCCCCTATTTTAACTCTAAAATATGTCAGAAGGAATCATCTATATTTCCTTTTAGGTACAAAATGGTCATGGAAGCTAGAGAGAATTCCAAGAAATAAATTATCTTCCAAAAAGCAGTTTAGGCCATTTAGACCTTTGCCTCTTTGGCAAAGCAAGAGAAAAACCCAAATGGGACTTCTTGCTCTTTTCAGTAGATCCCCAACATGGTGACTCCATGGGACAAAACACCACCCAATCCTATGCCATTTCCATGACTGTTTGTGGGCTGGATTTTGTGATCTACAGGGCTTGCACTGGCTGCTGCATTTAAGTATCTTCCAGGCCTTTCTCCCCAGTCCATGTTAGTCTGTAAGCTCCACTGAAAGCTGTTCAGCATCACAGCAGCGTTTAAGCCTCCACTTACAGATGGGTGGTGGCTGCACATGAGGCTCAACAGCCTGGAATCTAACCCATGTCCCCACCTGGAAGGCTACAATCACTGAACCAGCAATGATGCCCCCTTCACACTAAGCCCAGATAAGCAGAAAAAGGGTACCTGATAGCTTCTCAATAAGCGCTTTACCCAAGAAACCCTCTCTTATTTTTGAGGCAGCCTTGGTTAATTTAATATGAATTCTAAAATTGGACACAGGAAAATAATAAAGTGAAATTTTTCCACAACATACCTTTTTTTCATTCACTTTCCCTACTTCTTCACTTGCTGGTTCAGTATCAGCAGCTTCAGTTTTTATTCCAACACCTAACTGCTCTGATACTGAATCATTCAAAAACCACAAATCATCTGTAGTGTCTGAAACAAGGGCAGTACCTATATCCTAACAGAAAAAACAAGCATGAGTTTTCATAATCAGAAGCTTATCAGAGATGTTGAACCCTGCATAAATGGACTCAATGTCTTCACACTACATCTCTAAAGAACACCTTTTTTCAACAGACATCTATTCATTCAACAGATGCCTATTTTATATCTACAATATATAAGCTAAGGGATAGATATAAGGACACCTGGCAAGGACTTCTCCATTTTAAGAGTAAGTCACGTAAAACACCCAATAGACAGTACTGAAGAACTTTAAAAGATAAGGACTCACAGCTGCTCAACTAAATAAAATCCATTCCTTATATTCCTTTCCACAAGTGGCATTCTGAGAAGCTATGAAACATTCTATTAATTGACTATGACATATTCTTTCCTTTAATGGTCAATGAAGCTTATTAAAGAAATATGAGAAATACTGATGATAACCCAAACCTCCTGCCCTGACACTTTCTGAACTTTGAAACAACTTTAAATATACAGAACTTACTTTCTGCATTCATCTGTGAATATCCTATGATATACTTTTCTATAACATTCATGATATAACATTCTATAACATTCATGTTATATGCTTATGTGTTTATTGACCAAATACTCACTGAATGCCTGTTATATGCCAGCTACTGTTCTAGGTTCTAGGCAGTGTAGACTGAGTAGGGCATAATACAAAGGACCCAGCCTTACATTTCCATGGAGATAAACAGATAACAAATACATAACCAAAAAATATTTTCAGAAAGTGAGCAGTGCAATGGAAAATAAAATAAAAGATAAAAAGAGCAGAGTAGATGAGAGGATGCTAGTTTAACAAGGAGTAGTTTTTTTAGGACTACTAGCTATAACTGCACAGCTCCAAAATAGAAAGTGAATGGATCCCTTGGAACTGTGCAACATGACAGTCTTGGTGGCCAGGGATGAACTCTCTGAGGAGATTACACTTGAACTGAGGTCTGAATCATGAGAAAGTAATGAAAAGGACTTAGGGGAAGAATGAGCCAGAAAAAAATAAAGAAAAATTGTAGAGCTCCTGAAGAAGTGAAGAAATTATGTATTAGAGTCAGTAAGAGACCTATATATCTAGAATGCACATAGGAAATAAGTTAAGAGTGATAGGAAAGGGTCAGACCCGTAGTAGTTATGGTAAGGAGTCTACGTGTTACACGAAGCCACTGGAGGATTATAAACATGACACTGATGTGCTCAAACTTATCCTTTTAAAAATTTCCTCTTTGAGAAGACTTCACTATTAGATGGACAAGAACAGAAGCAGGGAGACCAGTTGTGAGGCTGCTGCAGTACCTAAGTGAAAAATTGTGATAGTCTGAATTAGGGTTACAGTAGTGAAAGTAGTAAAAATGGTTAGTTAGATTTAAGGTATGTTCTGGATAAAGCGCTATATGCTACAGAAATAAATCAACGATATCTCCTTGATATTTGGCCAGAATAACTGGGGATCATTTATCAAAAAAAATAAAGGTTTCCGAAGGAATGCTTGATGTAAAAAAAAAATAAGTAAAAAATCAGGAGTTCTATTATGAACAGTTAGTTAAACATCCATGGATTACATATACATTAAACATTAAGTGGATGTATTTCATAGACAGCTGGATATGAAAGTTGGGCAATCAGGGAGAGGTGGACTGGAGATAGAGATTTGGGCATCATAAGCACATAAATGGTATTTAGCATTGAAAGTTCTTAAAGAATGAAATAGGTGGTAAAGAGTAACCAAGAATGCTACTCTTTCAAAAGAGAAAATTAAGTTCCCCTTCAAACATGAGACTTACCTGATTGGTCTGTAAATCAGTTGAGCCATTACTTCTAGGTGTATAGTTGTTTCTCAAGTTGCCTAAAAACCACCAAGGCAAGCCAGCTACGTCCCACTCCTCAAACCCAAGGTCCAGCACAGATTTCTTATTTGGGGTTAAATTTTCTATCAAGTCTTCATCTACAAAAGTCAAAAGGATGATGACTATGTACATAACACTTGAGAATCAAGTCTCTCACGATAGTATTTACAACTTCTTTATGAGACAGGCAAAAAGAAATTCCTATTCCCGGTAAGAAAGAATCAGAAATCAAGTATCTATCTCAGTTGTAGAACTTAAATCTCCCCTCCAGTTTAGGCTTCACTAACAAGTAATGACACTAGAAATAGATGACAACCACCAAGGAATCTAAACTCTAGAAGCTTCCACAACAATCAAACTGTTCTAAAAAGAGTTCTAAGTGGTCACCTGCTGGTATTTTAAACATCCCTACTACTAAAGATTAATAACTAAAGAATGACTTGCTATATGGTTCTATGTTGTTGTTGTTGTTGTTATGTGCCGTCGAGTCAGCCCTGACTCATAGCGACCCCTCCTTGGGTTTCCAAGGCAGTATCACTACGGAAGTAGGATTGCCCAACCTTCCTTCCGAGGAGTGGCTGGTGGGTTTGAAACCGCCAGCCTTCTGGTTAGCAGTCAAGTGCCTTAGCCACTATGCTACCAGAGCTCCCATATGGTACTATACATGGTGCCTATTAATGGCTTGATCCACTGGACTTCAAATGGTGACAGCGTATGTAGTAGCCTCAGTCTTGAGATCATAACAAGGCAGTATAGACTGTAACAGACAATCAGGTTGTCAAGGCAGTCTCACTGACACCACGTATTTTCGTACATTATCAATTAATTTATATGTTTTGGTAGGTAACAACTATTCTAAAACAATGACCTCTACATTGTTCAAACAAATATGTACATATCACCTCTCTTGTAGCACAGTGGCTAAGCACTTGGCTGCTGAGATTTACCAAAACCCAAACCCACAGCCACTGAGTTGATTCTAAGGCTGTAAATCTTTATGGAAGCAGAATACCTCATCTTTCTCCCATGGAGCAGTTAGTGGGTTCAAACCATCAACCTTTTGGTTAGCAGCTGATGCCAACGCTATACCACCAGAGCTCCTTCCGTAAAAATTTATCTTATGGGGCAATTCTACTCTGTCCTATAGGGTCACTATGAGCCTGAACAGACTCGATAGTAATGCGTTTGGATTCATGCTCTCTGTAGATCCATGAGGTCTTTTGGAGTTAAGACATCTAAAAATCTAGGAATACTATACTCTGTATTAGGGCCCCACATAGCCCAGGTAAAAGATCTCATTTTGCACATATGAATGACATACAAACTAACTAACTCACTGCCGTTGAGTATGATCCGACTTCGCTATGGAAGCAGATTGTCCAACCTTCCTTCCGAGGAGTGGCTGGTAGGTTTGAACTGCCAGCATTCTGATTAGCAGTCAAATGCCTTAAGCACTGCCACCAGAGCTCCTGAATGACATATAAGGCAGTTACTAAATGTGTTGCTACCACATGAAATTCTTTGTTTTCTTTCCCATCCTCTAAGTCTTTTCTGTTGTAATCTTTTCCTACTTTCTGACTCTCCTCTACCTCTTCCCAATGTGCTAGGCCTGCCAATGGCAACCACGGGTGCTTAAATGTACTGAGGTATATATGATCAAAAGAATTTCCGCGATAAATGGGTCCTTGCCCGAACAATAGGTTACCCTATATACTTACAAAAGGAACCCTAAAGGAGCAACAGTTAAAATGCTCAGCTGCTAACTGAAAGGCTGGCAGTTCAAAACCACCCAGCAGCTCTGCAGAAGACAGACCTAGTGATTACTCCTGTGAAGAAAACTCTATGGGACAGTCCTACTCTGTCATGTGGAGTCGTTATAAGTTGAAATCAACTTGATAGCACCTAACAACAACAACATCAAATTACAAATTATTGCCAACCCTACCAATTAAAAGACATATCTGTGCCAAGGTACACTTCAACTACCTTTTTATTTATTCAGTGCTAAAATTATCAGAAATTCAAATTCCTGAGATGATGTCATATTTTTGTTAACCCCATTAACTCAGGTTCTACAACTTCTCGTGAAGAAAATGAAAATTCTTTCCACAATTAAAAATTCTGACCTTTCTATTTATAGGCCATTCTGAAAATACAAAGCTATATATTTCCAAAATTTCCATCACAAACTACATATTGTTGTTATGTGCCATCGAGTGGGCCCTGACTCATAGCGACTTCTCCTTGGGTTTCCGAGGCAGTATCTCTACAGAAGTAGATTGCCCAACCTTCCTTCCGAGGAGTAACTGATGGCTTTGAACAGCCAGCCTTCTGGTTAGCAGTCAAGTGCCTTAGGCACTATGCTACCAGAGCTCCCAAACTACAAATAGTCTCTGGAATTGGCTGTTCTTATATTTTAAACAGCCCTCTGAGAAGAAAATAAGCAAGGACCTGCATTTTAACTGGAATAGCTGCAAGTAACTGAAAAAAAAAAAAAACACACTGCCATCGAGTTGATTCCAACTCATGGCAACCCCCACTGCGTTTCCAAGGCAGCAAATCTTTATAGAAGTAGATTGTCCAGTCTTCCTTCCGCAGAGCAGCTGGTAGGTTTGAACTGCCAATCTTCTGGTTAGCAGTCAAATGCTTTAGGCACTATACCACCAGAGCTCCTTGCTAGGTATTTAGGTAGCCCAAAATTCAGTTTAGATTCAAATCCAATCTGAAGAAAACAATCAAGCATAATAAACTGATACAAATTTAATTTAAACATTTTTAGTAACTTCAGCAGCGTAACTTTCTGAGGCATTGCTAGAAACCTAACTGGCCATTTCTACAAGTATGAACCAGGTACTTACTGGAGTAGAAACACCAGCATGCCATTAGATACCTCTGAGGAGTTTATGACTCTATACCTTTGTGAGAAAAATCCACAATTCTGAAAGATTTTATAAAGTGGGATTTTAGGGAAACTTTCAAAATAGTGATTAACTCATTTGGCCAAACCACACCATACATAAAACGTGGATGGCAAGTATCTGGTGAATATCTATCACCCAAGTGCAAGGGAGCTAGGATTCTCAAAACTCCATTCTTGGCTCTGAGAATCTAAGTATGTTTCATCATCTTTGCAACCCGCAAAATCCATGAAAAGTAGCCTTTGCCTCAAGTAGATAAATAAAAATAAATTTTAACCAGACCAGATATGTAAAAGGGTGCCAGGATTAAAAAGGCCAAAGTAGCTGAGTTAATGTCTGACAAACTGATGCACATGTCGATGTATCTTCCATTAGCATATCTTCTATCACCTAATGTCTTGCTCCACCTCAGTAATCATTTACTTACTTGCTAAAAGAGCACTACTGTCTTCTTCAATATCAACAATGGTAACTAGGTTAAAAAAACAGTTATCAGAAAAGAATGAGAAGTAAGTGGAGATGTACCTTCCCCTCCCTCCCACAGGACAGGAGTAGGTAACATTAATTATCTTTTTAGTTCTCCACACTCAAGTTCCTATAATGGTCTTAACTGTAGCTAATGCTTAAAATAACTAACTGCCATTTCTAGAAATCACCAACAACAACAACAAAGAGAAAACTCCACATGGCCTTAATCAAAAACTTACCTTGTCTTGAATTTCTACAGTTAGGTTGTGAGGTAGGCAGCGTGGGAACATTGCCTTCTTCGGTTCTTTTCCTGGAGTTCAAAATTTCCTCTTCACTTTGCTGGAAAGAAGGGAAAGGTGTCTATCAGTGCAGCAGAAATAACCGAATCCAGGGGATGTAGCAGTTCCATTCTGGCTCACCAGTTAGTGTGCAACACAATGGGTTACACACAAGAAAGATAACTCTGGAGTACACAACAGTCATCAAATAAAAGCATCACCTCTCCTCAACCCACTGTGAATAGAGCTGGAAGAATGCCAAACCTGAGAGAGAAATAGCTCTGTACAAAAGGCCAAAACCTACTGCTATAAACAGATTACCAATATAAAGCCTGTAGCCTACTACAAAATTAAGCATAACGCAGAAAACATGTAAAACCATCAACAAATAACAAGATGATCATAAAGTTTTCCCAGGTTTGGGGAAGTTTTAAGAAATGGTCTGACATGAAGTTAGCTACAATAAATTCTGAAAAAGCAATTTCTTCAAACACCTGCATATATACATAATCACATACACACAAACAAGCACACACAAACCCCAAGGAAAATGCAACTGGAAGAACTGAAGATCAGAAGTGCTACATCCCAAAGAGAAATTCAGAGACTGGAACTCTGTTATGGGCAGAACAGAGAAGGTTCACTCTGTCCCTGGTCTATGAACTCCCAAGAACTTTCTTATGAAATTCTTACCACATTCAAGGAAAGGTCTTGGGAGTCCAAGATCCATAGGTACAGAGAAGGGGCCACTCTGTACAACAAAAGAAGTCACCGTGTGGTGATTTTACCTTCAGTTGGTCTTGGCTTGGAATATCCATACTGTGATCCTGTGCGAGAGCGAGAGTCTGAGCAGCATCTGGATAGCAAGTAAAACAAAAGGAAAACCTTCCCTGGTAATAACCATTCTTTCCACACAAAAAGGACCTCAGCAAACCACCCTGGAGCCAGGTTTGGTCCCTAGAGATTACTTCTCCATGTTGGCTGGACAAAGCTCTCATTGGTAGGAAGGGAAAAATCAAAACTGACAAAATGGCAAAGACCAAGACAGGGCATACTCAAAATATATTATCAATATATAACCAGGGAGAAAATGACAAAATCACTCAAAAATGGCTAAAAATTTTCTTCCATAGTAAGCTTTTAAATTTTTATAAAAACAGTGGTTCCAAGCAGGAAACAATGTAAAATATTTTTATCAACTCTTCCTATAGGTGCTTATAACCAAATCTGCCTAACTTGTGGACAAACATAAAAAAAGTGTTTGCTTTCAAAAAAATGTTTTTCACGTATTAAACAGAGTTATTAGAGCTGAAAACATGGAACTTTCCCTAATTGCTTAACAAATAGCATTTTCATGTAAACCTACATTCTAAGTGTCAATTAAATCCCCATTGTCTAGACATAGATTAGATTGTTCCCAATTACTATAAACATTTCCTAGAAAGGAAAAGGGAGGAGATGAAGTTTTTCTCAATGCCAATAAAAAGAAGCAAAGAAAATAATAATCAAGCAGAGAGAAATTCTTAGATACTGCATTAGTCTAAGAGAGAAATTTTTCAAGCACAACAGAAGGGGAAAATTTGGTTATAGGTGCAGAACAAGCTTCAAAGAACTGCATAACCTGGGCCACTTGTTACATAAGGCTATGTGTAATAGAGAGGCACCCAAGTCTATCAAGGTCCATAGTTAAAACAGTGATGGAAAACATCATCCTCATCTAATAAAGACTGCCAGAGAAAAAACACTCAGCCTACAATTGGGGGGTAATTCATCTGTTTTGCACAAAGCAAACATTTTCAAAACTGTAATTATAAAGAGCATTATTTCTAGAAGAATTTTCACAGGTAAATGGAGGTACTGATAGATTAAAAAACAGCATTTTCTGACCACAAAACAAAAACACACTACCGACGAGTTGGACCCAACTCATAGCAACCCCTCCTTGGGTTTCCGAGGAGGTATCACTATGGAAGTAGATTGTCCAATCTTCCTTCCGAGGAGTGGCTGATGGGTTTGAACCGCCAGCCTTCTGGTTAGCAGTCAAATGCCTTAGGCAGTACACCACCAGAGCTCCCTTTCTGACTACCGTAGTCTATACCACAGTAGTCTTCAAAGCAAAGCAAAATTCAATTAACATACAGTGCAAATGAAATCGTTCTTTAATAAAGCAATTCTATTACTGTCATTTGCAGTTTTAAAGCTTTACTACCTTACTTAGGTTCAAACAACTAAAAGCAAAAAGGCAAAAAGAAATTATCTCTGGGAAAACTACCTTGTACTGTACAAAGGAATTTTGGAATAAATACAAGATGTATCCTATGTATTTCATTTGATCAGTATACTTTGGAAAATATAGAAGAATGACTTCAAAAGAACCATCTTTACTTTAAATAATGAGATTTTCTTCAACCATCAAAAAAAAAAAAGGTTTAGTTCATTTGTAAAGCTATAAAATAGGTAATGTGGAATACATTTTTCTTATTTGTCTTTCCAAATAAAACACATGCAACCAAATTTAGAAGATCAACAGAGATAGCCAACCATAAGCATCACTGCAAACAAGTCAAAGCAGATAATCAAAATTACTTGAGGCAATTTCCTGGTCTTGACCATGTACTACGGTTATGTAAGATGTTACCATTTGGGGAATGTGGGTAAAGAATAAATGAGAACTTTTCCTCCCTGGCTGCCTGAGGATCGGCCACCATCATGAATGACAAAGTAAATATCCAGACCAGGAAGTTCATGACCAAGTGATGACTACTGTAGAAATAAATGGTTATTGATGTCCTTTGCCCTGGGCAGGCAACAGTATCTAAGACCAAAATTTGGGAAAAAATAGCCAAAATGTACATGACCACACCAAATGTCATCTTTGTATTCGGATTCAGAACCCATTTTGGTGGTGTCAAGACTACTAACTGCAGCATGACTTACCATTCCTTGGATTATGCAAATAAAAATGAACCAAACACTGACTTGCAACATGTAAGAGGAACCCAAGAACAGAATAAAGAAAGTCAGTGGGACTGCAAAACCCAACACTGGAGCTGGCAAAAAGGAAGAATAAAGATTTTGCAATGATTTCATCTATGGTGATGGTGTGGATTTTTTACCAGAGGACTGATAAACTATAAAATCCTTAGTAATAATAAAGGCTTATATGGGAACTCTCTAACATTTCTGAAAATCTGAAATTATTTCAAAATGACCTGTTAGAAATTTTTTTAAAAGATTTAATGCTCAGAAAAGAAAAAACTGTGTTAAAAAATAACTTGGGGCAAAACCTATTACAAGCAAAGGTTAAAGGAGACATCAGCGTGTGTGTACAATGAAAAAAGCAAGGAAGGACCGGCTAATTCTCAGCTCCACTCCTCATCAGTGGAGTGTGATCTTAGGCAAGTCACTTAACCTATTAAAAAAAATCTTTTTTTATTTTTACCTCCAGACCTTCCTCACAGAGTTGTTGTGAGGGTAACTGAAATAGAAATGTTCATTATAATATATATACTTTATATATAATATATATATTAATTATATATATACACACACACATATATATATGTATATATATAAATTCTGCAGAGGAAAGTGAAAGAATATGAAAGAGAAAATAATGTGAGAATTGTACCCACTCTATATATTCAGAGAACAGATCAATCAGAAAATAAACTTTACTGAGTTTACAGCAATTATAAAATCTCCCATGTATTTCAAGGCTATAGTGACTATTGTAGGAAAACTATACTATCTTACAAATGACAGAATTTCAATAAAGCTATCATATCATTTGCAAGGCTTCCCCTCTCAAACTGAAATTTACAGCTACCTGAACTGGGTTTTCTGCTGTGGACAAATGGCTCAATAAAACCAACAGGCTTCCAAATTCATTTCAAGTTCAAAATCAATTTCAGTATAAGAGCAAAGTCTTTCACTCACTTTAAAACATGAGTTTTTCTTAGGGATGGATTCTTTTCAACCTATTTATTTCAGTAAACTATTGAGACAGTCAAACGAAAAGAGATTACAAACTTGGGCTTTATTCAAAGGACAATGCTACCTAAATTCTAATTGGAAGCTCATAAAAGGGTTTCATGTAGGAGTGGAGAGAAAAAAAAGAAAAAAGTTTCATTAGCTGGAAATGAGTGAGAAGGTTACATATCAACTACGTCCAGTTTATTCACTTATCTCTAACATACCAACACTTTAGAGACTTCAGATCCCAAAGCAGTCTGCTTCCTGCACATGTCTAATAAACTCTAAGGGCAGTATTTAAAAGGTATGGAATTAAGCAAAGGCTTAGACAAACTGGCATTCAAATAACAAAGTGCTAAAGCCATTAGCAGGAGCCCTGGTGGCACAGTGATCAAGTGTTGAGCTGCTAAATGAAAGGTCGGTGATTTGAACCAATCAGGCACTCCGTGGGAGAAAGATGTGGCAGTCAGCTTCCATAAAGATTACAGTCTTCGAAACCCTGTAGGGCAGTTCTACTATGTCCTGTAGGGTCACTCTGAGTCAGAATCGATTCAACAATGGGTTTAAAACCATTAGGTGAATGGTTCTTGGGGGAACCTTAAAAGACACAGACCAGGTTAATACCACCTGAGCCCAGAGAATCTTAATATCAATGAAAGGAGGACAGGCAGACCTTACACGATTCTTCCTGTGATGCAACAGAAATATAAAGAACCACCTATGATACTTTCTTTTAAAAATATTTAAACCTGAGTCTATTCAAGCACTGAGATCTAACTACTAGTCTACCAAAAACAGAGGGAGAAAGAAACATGTTAAACAACATCACAAGGATACAATATGCCAACTCTAGAATGTAGGTGATTTTACAGAACAAATGACTGACCCATTTCTTCAACAAATAACATGAAAACAAAAGGAGGGGTAGGTTTTATAGATTAAAGATATTTAAGAGACATTTCAGCCAAATGTCATGTATGGACTTTAGATAATTATCTGAATAAACCAAATGTAAAAGGTATTCTTGAGATAACCAGAGGAAACAAAACACAAAAGCTATTAGTGTCATGTAATTAATAATTTTCTTGGGTGTAATAGCATTGTAGTTATTTTTGAAGGGAAAAAGTCCTCATCTGTTACAAAATTTTTAAGTATGTACAGGTGAAGCAAATGAGGGAAAATGTTAACAATTACTAAGTCTAGGAGGTAGAGGCATTAATTACACTATTCTATTTTCAGTATGTTTGAAATGTTTCACAATAAAAAGTTAAATACATAGCAATGGCACTCTATGTGACACGTAGTTTCTCCCAATCATGCCAAAGACAAAATTCCATTTCCATCTTGAGCCTGTTTGCTTTCCCACCATTTCCCCCCTGAATTCAAAGCTTTGATACAGACTGAAGAAATATGATGTGACATACCTGTAGCAGGAGTGGCTAAAGTGACAAGATTCTTTCTTAGCATATCATAGAGAGGGCTGTTAAACAGATAAAATAAAAATAAACAATTCAAAATACATTTCTAAGGATACTGGTAGTTTTCCATTAAATGTTAAATATATTTCTGATATATTACATCCTAACTTTCTCTATAAGGAGCAGCAGTTCAAACCCACCAGTTGCTCCGCAGGAGGAAGATGAAGCAATCTACTTCTGTAAGATTTACAACCTTGGAAACCCAATGGGGGTCACTATGAGTCAGAATCAACTTGAGGGCAGTGGGTTTGGTTTTAGTGGGCTTTCTCTATAAAGTATGAAGAAGTAGAATTTTACCCCTTATAATAGATATTTAAATACTAATATTGTAATGCCTAGGCCCTTGTCATACTTCTCCCCATTAAAAAACTAATTAGTTTACATTTTATTTCATTAACCCAAGTGGGGATTCCTTTGAAGAGTATTCCTTCCTTCCAAGAATTTTCATATTTTAACTGGGAAGTAGGGTAGTGGTAGAAGTAGCTCTGGTGGCATAGTGCCTAAGGCATTTGACTGCTAACCAGAAGGCTGGTGGTTCAAACCCACCAGCCTCTCTGCAGAAGGAAGATGGGCCAATCTACTTTCGTAAGATTTACCACCACAGAAACCCAATGGAGATTGGTCACTATGAGCTGGAATCAACTTGATGGCAGTAAGTTTAGTTTATTTTCTTTTTTTTTTTTTTTGAGGGAAGTTATGGGAGACAGAGAAAACAAGCTTAGAAGGAACAGTCATTATAAAGCTAGAGAGTTAGAGAACATTGGCTTCTCATTACTGACGAGCTTTTGACTATATAAGCTAGTGCCCATATATTCCGATACAGGTGGAAAAGGTCACAGACAGGTCAGATTAGCTTCACTTAATTCCTACTAAACTCATAATCATCAACCTCAAACTGCCCAGGAATCCTACCTTTCTCACCAGCTTACTCCTCCTCCTCTCTCTCCAACAAGTACTTTACAAAATTCCAGCCTAGCCACATCAAGTTCCCTCCTATCCTGGCCTTGACACACGATGTTCAATCTGCTTGAAGCTTGCTTCAACCAACCCCTTCTAAGTGACTTTTTAATTATCCTTTAGCTCTCAGCTCAAATCTCACTTCCTCAAGGAACCTTTCTTGACCCCTAAGACACTGAATCCCCCTCGACAGTACTTAGTGTAATGTGAACATGTACTGTGTTAATGAATATCTGCTCACTACACTGTAAATTCCATAAAACCAGGCTCTGAGTCTATGTTGCTCACTGCTGTATTCTCAGTGCTCACAGGCCAACTGACATGTGCAGGCCCTTAAATATTTGTTGATTGAATGAGTAAATCGCCACTAATAACCTGTGAGGTTGGATGGTTGTATATAAGCATCCAAAAGAAATACAAACCCTCACTCTTTTTACCTCGGCTCTTTCACGGAGAAGCTCTGACGTCCAAGTAGTTCTCCCAAAAGATCTCCACCACAATATACCATATGCTGCTCCTGCTGATCATAAAGCTGCTTCATCATTATATACTGGCCTAGATACTGCATGACCTGCATGGGAATAAAGTACCATGAAAAGAGCTGTCCAGCTGCTGCCAAAACAACACAAATTCTGAGGAGATAAAGGAAGTTATTTCGCTGGAGAAAAAGAGAACTAATATATATGGACATGACTGTCAGTAATTCAGAGTGCATGTGCATGGGATCTTAAGCAGGATGGCTGTCCCCAACTGCTAGGTTCATCCACTCATTACCATTCTGGCTATCAAAAGACCTCGACTCATAACACAGAAATGTAGTAATCAGGCAATGAGAAAAAGTGGTCAATATACTTAGTATTCCCTTACAATTTTTCTCATCAGTCCAAATCTTATCAAGAGTCTATTACTGGAAGTAATAAACTTAAAATTTGCCTAGGTCATAAAAATATTTTCCAAGTCCAGGGGCCAATAAACAACTACTCTATCGTTTCAATGTATGTTCACTTAATAGTTTTGACAAACGAAGTACAACGTTTAATAGCTATCAGCACTGTAAGTGAACAAAATATAGAACCTAAGTGTTTATCAGATAGAAATTTACTTTATCTGGCTATTTTTCTCACAGTTACAAAACTGACAAAGTTCACAATTTTAAAAAGTTATCTCAAATGTACATGAAGTGTTTCATATAATCTTTATCATCCAGCTTGGTACCTACCTTCTGATAATGGACTTAGTTGAATTTTATGATAAACTAAAATAATTAAGTCTGTTAGAAAGAAATGCTTTTCCCCAGGTAGCAGATTAAAAAAAACAAAACAAAACAAAAAATCTTAATAATTAAGTTCATTTAATGATGTAAGTAAAAATTTGTTATCACAGATTACAAGCAGACCAAAGCAGTTATCTTTATCTTTAGGCCCTAGCTTCTCAAGAATATATCTGGTATTTACACAGAAGATTTTTCCAACTTTGTTCCCATTATATTGAAGCAGCAATGCTCCTAGGCTGTTCCTCACCCCTATTTTCCCCACCTCACACTTCCTCAGTTTTCCTATCCCCCTGGTAACATGTCCCAGTATTAACAGATTAGCCAAGCTTTCATATCCATCAAGTAAACTAGGGGAAAATAAGATGAGGAGGAACATCTACTAGAGGTAGTAGGAGAAAGTTCTGTATTTATGTCTGTCCAACATTCAGAAAAGATAAATCTAAGAATGCCAAATCCATTGCTGTTAAATCGAATCCTGACTCACAGTGATCCTATAGGACAGAACTGAACTGCCTCATAGGTTTTTTAAGGCTGTAATCTTTATGGAAGCAGACTCTCACACCTTCCTCCCATGGAACGGCTGATGAGTTCAAACTGCTGACATTTTGGTTAGCAGATAAACTCTTAACCATTGTGCCACCACATGTATGTAAAACAGGATATTCTATCCCATGTATATAAAAAGAGATATTCTAAAACACTATTCTACATTTGTATATAAGACTACTATTTTATTATATCTTACTGTCTCAATGCACACACTGTCAATCAGTATCTAAAAAGAAAAATTAGAAAATTCCCCTTTATGTACTAGGTAGCATCAAGGTGCATAGAAAGCTTAATCATATAAACTTTTTCTAACCTTGTCTCAGTAAAACATTCTTCCTGGACAATATGTACTTAATTTCTTCTCAACCCAGGCAAATTCTGCCATGCTACTGAAAAAGAAAGCCTGACAGATTTGATGTAAAAATCTACACTTTAATAACAGTCTGGAAAAAGGTCTGACTCATCAGAGTAATAGACACCTAGTCCAAACTGATGCATGTAATCTAAAATGGTAAAAGAAATATGGGTATTCTAGAAAATCTGCAGTGCCTCCAGATTTGTTTCCTTAAGAGGTATAATGTTGCAGGAGTGAGGCAATACTGATAGCTATCGGGTTTGTAAGAAAAAGAAAAAAGAGCCTAATTTTGCTTCCTCTGTCTAGCAAGGGTTAGCTCTTTATCCAACTACATGCAAGCAGTTCCAACAGATTAACATTTTAATACTGAGTCTTTTTCACTTAGAGAATTCAATTTGTTTTTGTTTATTTAAAAAAAAAAAAAAACTTTAGAAGTATAATAAGTTATTTAAATGCATAAGTGTTTAAAATAACTCATGGTGCTCCCAAGAGTATCTGACACATTTATAATGAAAAACTGCTGCATTTAATTCCTGGCTGGCAGCATATCCAGTAAATCACAGGCAGTGTCATTTTTTAATCTTGTACATGTTTTGCATTTTAACTGAGATCAATGAATTAATGGTTAAACTTACGTTTAGCTGATCACACACTTCAAAAGGAACTAAAAGGAAATATGAAGTACCACCCCCTAATTGATTTTATGAAACAAACATAACCCTGATAACCAAACCAGACAAAGACACCACAAGAGAAGAAAACTATAAGCCATTATCGCTTATGAATATAGACACAAAAATCCTCAATAAAATAATGGTGAACAGAAACCAACAGCAAAAAGAGCATACACAATGACAATATGAGCTTTTTCAGGAATGCAGGAATGGTTCAAAATTAGAAAATCAATCAACATAATACACCACATCAATAGAACACAGGAAAAGAACCACATGATCAACTCTATGGATGCAGAACATGTATCTGATAAAATCCAACACCCTTTCTTGATGAAAACCCTAAGGAAGATTCAAATAGAGCAGAAATTCCTTAATATGATTCAGAGCACATGAAAAGCCAACAGCCAACATTACACTTAATGGACAGAGAGTACTTTCCCCTTTAAATCAGAAACAAGACAAGGGTCCCCTCTCTCACCACTTCTATTCAAAATTGTAATAAAAATTCTAGCCAAAGCAGTAAGTCGAGTAAAAGGTATCCAGATTGCAAGGAAGAAGTAAAATTACCTCTGTTCACGAATGTTATCATCCTACATACAGAAAATTCAAAAGAGTCCTCAAGAAAATTTCTATAGCTAACAGAGGCTAAATTCCTCTAATTTAGGAAAGGTACATAGTCAGCAAACAAAAATTACTTGGGTTTCTGAACACCAGCAACAAGAAATCTGAAATGGAATTTTTTTTTCCCTCCCCACCACTGCATTAACAGAGTCTGAAAACCTTGCCAAGTCTGAAGTGTGTTTCCTTAGGGATTATAAAGAACTCTGGTGGCACAGTGGGTAAGGCATTTGGCTGCTAATCAGGCTGGTGGTTCAAGCCCACCAGCTGCTCTATGGGAGTAAGATAAAGCAATCTACTTCCATAAAGATTCACAGCCTCAGAAAACCAATGGTGGTTGCTATGAGTAAGAATCAACTCGATGTTGTTGTTGTTGTTGTTATGTGCCTTTGAGTCGAACCCGACTCCTAGCGACCCCTCCTTAGGCTTCCAAGGCAGTATCACTACGAAAGTAGATTGCCCCATCTTCCTTCCGAGGAGTGGCTGGTGGGTTTGAACCACCAGCCTTCTGGTTAGCAGTCAAGTGCCTTAGGCACTACGCTACCAGAGCAGTGGTATACTCTAGCATAATCCACTTAGTGGTTCTGTGTCTAGCTATCAACTCTGAAGATAACTCTGTAATAGTGGTCAGTCTGCCTGAGTGAAACTTTCATGCAAAATGATGGTCAGAGCAGCTCAACTGAAAGAAAAGTAAGAAAACAATTCCATTTATAACAGCATTTAAGAGAATAAAATACCTAGGAATAAATCTGACCAATGACATGAAGGACATATACAATGAAATTATAAAATACTGTTGAAAGAGACTGAAGAAGGCTTAAATAAATGAAAAGATGTTCCATGTTCTTGGGTTGGAAGACTATTTTATATTGTTAAGATGTCAATACTACCCACAGATTCATCACAATCCCTATCAAAATTCCAACAGCCTTTTTTACAGAAATGGAAAAACCAATCCTCAACTTTATGTGCAATGGCAAGAGGCTGCAAATAGCTGAAGCAATGGTAAAAGAGAAGAACAAAATAGGAAGGCTCAAATTTCCTGATTTTAAAACTTATTACAACTTCTCTTCACTTATCGACTAGTTAGGTTCCACAGACCAGGTTGTTATCCAAAATCATCATTAAGTGACAATGGAAGATGACCACATCAGATCACAAAATCACATATATGCTGAATTACATCATTACATAACTGCCAAAGCACTGAGAATCATGCCCACCAAGGAGACACATTACCTTTACCATCACAGCCAGCATTACTCTCACCTCATACCCTAGTGTTCGTTACTGACAGACATACATGATTACTGTGTATAATTTTTTCAGTGGTTTGGCAATTATGTAATGATGTAGCCCTCCTCCATTTTGTGATCATCCATTTTCACATAACACCAATTTCACATAACAACTTGGTCTTTGGAACCTAACTCTGTCAGTAAGTGAGGAGAGAGTATAATATGTTTTTAAAACAGGAAATATATGAGTTCTGATTTTGTAAGTGTGAATATGAGTCTTAATGATAGAGTCATCCTCCATTTTGTGACCTATGTGGTCTTCTTCCATTTTCACATAACGCCAATTTTGCATAGCAACCTGGTCTTTGGAACTTAACTATGTTGATAAGTGAAAAGAGAGTGTAATCAACACAGCCTTGCGCTGGTACAACAATAGACACATGGACCAAAGGAACAGAATTGAGAGTCCAGAAATAAATGCACACATCTATTATGCTAAACTAATTTTAACAAGGGTGCTAAGTCCATTTGATGGGGAAAGAAGTGTTTCTTCAATGAATGGTTCTGGGAAAACTGGATTTCCAAAAGCAGAAGAATGAAACAGGATTCATGCCTCATACCATAGACAACAAAAAATTTAAAATGGATTAAGAACCTGAACATACAAACTAAAACCATAAAATTCTTAGAAGAAAATGCAGGGGCAACGATGTTGGGCTTAGCCTTTAACACAATGAATTAGTTAATATAATAATGAATAAACAAACAGCAGAAGACAAAATAAATAAATGAGATCTCATAAAAATTTTAAACTTTTGTTCATCAAAAAATTTACCAAAAGAGCAAAAGCATAAGATACTG